CTAATGTTTTTCTCTACCTATTCATTTACATTTGCAGGTACAGAGTGGGGATCAGACAGTGCAGACTTTTTAAAACCGAATCCTCCCCTCACCCATACAAAATGTCGGTGACAGTTCCCTTCCATCATGGTAGGGCCTTTTCCATGCAGCTTGTGCAGGAGATGGGAGTGCTGGTGTGGGAGACTGAGGGTTGTAAGGAATGGCAGGAGGTGCTTCAGGTTGTGCATGGGTCCCCTGGTCCATGCAAGGGCTGCACTAAGGACATGGGGCTCGCAGCAGCTGGGGGATTGTCACTGCTAACCCTTTCTCTCCCTCACACTTTCAAATATGAAAAGTGAAAGCTCTTGCATAGGCCTGAGCACAGAGCCTTGTACTGCTTCCGAGCCACGTGGTCATTCTGGAAACCCACGATTAAGAAATGCTATAGCAGGACTTTCCATTTGGGAGGTGGAAGAGAGAAGCACAGAACAGTAGTTTCTGTTTTCAAAATGTGGTTTAAGGACCTCAAATTGCAGGAAGTCACAGCACAAAGCAAATAATAAAAACACACTACAAATCATACAAAATAACACAACTGAGGCACCTAGAGAGATCTAAGTTGGAGCTTTCTGCAAATGCGAACAGGGGACCTCTGATTCACACACAGGTCCCATTTACAGGCAGAAATGGCCACAACTGAGAATATTGAGGAACTTCCCTTCCCCTCCCACAGCTACCCGGGGATTTCTCTCCCCTCCCCAACAGGAGGACTCCATCTCCTCCGCCCCAGCCCCCTGTCTCTCCTGCAGCTGTTGTCCCCACTTTGCACAGTGATGGCAAAGGTTGGGGAGTGCAGTGCTGTCCTGAAAGGTGAGGAGAAGAAGCAACAGGAAGGAGGGGGCCAAAGGAAATTGTCCCTTTCATTTTGTCTGCACTCCACCCCCAGAGGATCTGAAGGGACAGAGCTGTAGTCGCCCAGGGCGCGCTGACTCTGCCACGAATGCATTATAGATCCTCCTTTACTCCTTAAGGCAGCCAGGCAGGGCCGGAGGCTCCAATGCCTGCTGCCCCGGCTGTCTCATCTGGGCTGCCTTAGGGTGCTGCTGGGGCAGAGCAGAATCTAATGATGCACCATGTGGTCTCCACAGGCCTGAGGGACATCCACCCAGAGATGCTGAGGGGAACAGGGTCAGCAGCTGCAGCGGGAAGGGCTGTGTCTCAAGTACCAGAGAAGCCTGGTCAAAGCCCATGGTGCAGCCAGCAGTGGAGGTGGGGCATGAGATGGGGCTGTTGATTCCTTGGCTCCAGAAGGCAGCCCTAAATCCCCTCCTCCACTGGGTATTTCATCTATGGGCTGATTTACTGTCCTTTTAGAAGTGTGCAAGCTAACTGATCAAAGCAAATTAAAGCTTTGTGATTTTGAAAGATTTAATATGAAAAAGTTCAATTATAATCAAAACCCAGTCTCATAAGAAAGTTAACATATATCAATGAAAGAGAAAGAAAAGTTACTGTGTTCTTAAAATACATTTCAACTGTTTAAAACTTTTAAAAGTTATAATAATGGTTTTAAATTTATTCTCTCCAGTCTATACAGTTTCTTACCTAAAGGTTATTATCAGAAGTTTGAGAGATCATTATTCAAACATCTTAATTGATAAATATGTATAGCTGTTACAATAAAACCATAGATTTGGTTGGCCAAAAAGGTGATTTAGTTTTTTTCTGCAAAAGACACATTTTTCATTTTCACCAATAACTTTATTGATTTGGATATTTTGAGTATGTCAGCTATCTCCCTCATGGGATGACATTGATTGTTTTTAGTTAATGTCTTGATTTGATCGCTATCAACTTCAACTGGTCTACCTGACCATGGAGCATCACCCAGTGAGAAATCTCCAGCATGAAACTTCACAAACCACTCTTGACACGTTTAATCAGTCACAGCACCTTCTCCATACACTTCACAAATCTTTTTATGCATTGCAGTTTCATTTTTACCTTTCTTGAAATAATAAAGGATAATATGCCAAAAATGTTGCTTATTAAAAAAAAAATCACCAGTTTGGTAAGTTTTTTTAAAAAATGGATGCTGATATGACAGCTATCACAATACAATCTAATATAACTGTTTCAAATGAAGTTAAAGACAACTAATTGCTGCTAGAGCCATTGTACAGAAAAAAACAAATGCACATTTTGGCCCACCCAGTAGAAAATAGTTATGCTCGTGAAATGAGGCTCAAATTCCTCTTTAAAAGTATCTTATTTAAAGCTTTATTCAAATCCAATATTTAATTATCTTCCTTGAAATCTTTGTATTTTATAGTTATAATTTAAGAAAACTGAACATGTTTTTCACCAACCCACATGCAGGTATTCCCTAATTTATTCCAATTTATCCCAGTATTCTGTAAAATATTGCATTTTATAAGTATGAAAAAGACTGGGAAGCAATGTCCTATATGACATTTATTAGTATAGAGCCCCATTTGGGGTTCCATAGGCCAATGCATTGTCCAGGTAGCATACCCATTGTCAGTAATTTGGATTCCATGAGTAAATAAATTCTGATTTCCAAACTACAGATTACAAACCCATTATTGTCCCTACCTATGAGTAGAGAGAAAGGCTCTTCAAGTTACAACTTATTTTTAAAGTGCATTTTGTTTCCTACCAACAGCTTTAAGAGAGCTGTTTTGTAATGTACTTTAAGATGGCTTCTTGAGTAACTCCACCATGCTTGTGCACACTGGCTCAGGTGACTTCCTGCTGGCCAATTTAAACCTCACTTTTCTAGTGCTCCTGCAAGAAAAGGATTGCTTTTGTAAGCCTATGTTAACAGCCCTGATCAAAGCCCGGGCCAGGTAGCTCAGTTGGTTAGAATGTCCTTCAGATATACTAAGGTTGCAGGTTCAACCTCTGGTCAGGGTACAAACAAGTGACACATGAATGCATAAGTAAGTGGAACAACAAATTGATATTTCTCCCTTTTCTTTCCTTTCTTTCTCTCAAATCAGTAAGTAAAAAAATAAAAATAAAAAAAGTCTCATCAAGAAAACCACAAGGAGTCTGCAAACTTTCTTCCTTTTTAGTTCTCCTTCAGTCTCTTCTGACCCACCAGATCCAATCTTTGAGTTTTAAAATGTTTTTGAGTTAACACCTCTTATTTCACCCTGCTGGATGAAATCTTCTATTGCGTAAGTCCTAATCAGCCAGAGATAACACTGCTGGAGCAACAATTTCACCAGTCCCCGAAAACATAGCTGTGTTTGGGAGATCTCGATGTAGGAAGTTAGGCTAATACTTAGTTCCCAGAAGATTAGGTGTGGTTTTAATGATCTCATTCAAGCGGGTGGGGGCCGGAATGGTTCCATGTTTCTATTTTTAAAATGCTTATAAAGATCATCCTTTGCTGCTCAAAGGCAGCAGATGATGGAGAGACTGGTCTCAGGTTACCATTAAAGGTAACAACCTGGCCAACCTGGTTTACAGAGAAAAAAAGCACTCGAACTTCATTTTCAGCCTAGACTGGGATAATTTGCTCTTGAGACTGGGCCATAGTCCACAGAGCCCCAGTCCAGACCAGCGGATCTTCTCTCTCCTTCCTGGGCATGCAATCTCTGCCCAGTTAGAGCCCCAGGGTTGGTGCAAGCAGAGCTCCCTCCCTCCAGAATCAGAAAGGCAAGTCCCCAAGAAGGGCTTTTCCTCCAGGCGCCTGGGACTTCGCCACTTCCCGAGTTCACGTGGAGAGTTTGATGCAGTTTTGAAAAAGCTTGGGTTCTGGAAAGGGCAGGGCGTGGCCTCAGAGTGAAGAGACGTTTGAATCCTGGCACTTTCTGGCACGCTCAGAGTCCAGGTGGGTAAGACAAAAAGGAAGTCTAATATTCTCTCTCCTCCTCAGGCCTGTCTTGCCAAATGCCTGGTTCTTAGTAAGTGCTTGATACTAAGGCAGTGTTGGAGGGGGTCGCGGGGTGTCGGGGGGGGGGGGCAGGCGTGTGGCGGTGACGAAGGGCAGGCTGCAACTCAGTAAGTACCGGGAATGTCCCGCCAAGTGGATTTCGTGAAAAGAGGCGCCATTTCCCTAGAACTCCTGTATCTTCCAGTTTTGCTTGGAATAAACTCTTTCCACCCAAAAAGGGAGAACACTGTAAACAATCTTTGATCTTCTTTCCAAGCAGGACAGAGAATCCAGGATTCACAGCTGGGGTTAGGAGGTAGAGGTCAGTTGACACACTTCGTCGTGGAGCGGTGACATAAAATAACCAGGTCCAATAAAGAACAAAACCAGGTTTTCCTGGCGGAGTACACCAGCCACCCTCCAGGTGCTCGCCCCCTAGCTTCTGGCCCAGCCTACGGCAGCCTTTACCAAACCTTTAAACCCAAGTGCGTGCGTGAGTCCGGACCACTGGTAGTAGCACTATGTCTATGGACTTGAACCGGAACCTGGACGAGGCTAGAGAAGGCCAGGCGAAACTGCACTTCCTGAAGCACAGCGAGGACAGCACGCGCACCCCTCTCCCCAAGGGGCGTGGTGGCCGGGGAAAGGGACTGGGCTTCTTGCTGTCTGGGCCTGGGATACCGGAGTAACACCCAGGGCGCAAGCTCATTAGGAAATAGGATCTTCTTCCAGAGACTGGGACGGGTTGAAGAGGCGCGGTCGCGCTTAGTAACTCCACCAGGTTTTTCCGGCCAGCAGATCCGAGGGAAAACTCAAAGGTGTCTCAGGCCCTCGACTGCTGTCCCCGGCCCCTAGGTGGCGTGGCGATCCTCGACTCCGGAGCTCAGGGTATGCTCCTCCCCAAATGACGCTCGCTCCTCCCTCACCTCGCCTTCAGCACCGCCCGGGAGCCCCGAGGGCAAACGGGGGGAGGACGGAATTTCCCTGCGCTAGGGCTTCGGCTTCCCCGCAATTCTTTCTGTTTACAGAGAGAAAGGGGAAATGGAAAAGGCGGGGAGGCGGTGGCTAGAGTGTGCTGCGCCGCCCCTCCACCGGCTCAGACGCTGTGAGTCAGGGGCCGACGAGGGCGGCCGGAGATCGTTAGTCCAGTCGGGTCTGGACGACGCACCAAGCTCTGGGGCCGGTCGCCCTGGCTCCGGCCTCTGCCACCGCCGGACCTCGGGGCCCTGGCGCTCCCGGTTTTTGAAGGACGGCCACCTGCTGCGCGCAGAGCCGTCGGGGAGGCCGTAACTGGAGCGCCCAGGCTGCGGGGGCGAGCGAAGGCAGCAGGTAACCCAGAATTCGGGGGCTTAGGGGTATCTTCTGGTCTCAGTCCTCCCCGATACTCCAACCGGTCTCATCCTAAGAACGAGGGTTCCCCCAAGGCAGGGGGTAGATTCCGGGGCTCCGGAAGGTGGGGGCGTGCCGGCCTTTTGCTCGGCTGCGCTTCCGTCCTTCGCGCGGGTCGGGGCTGCGGCCACCACCGCTGGAAAGCACCTTGCGCAAGGGTCTCACGCGGGGTAGACTCGCGACTCCGCCCCCTTCCTCCTCCTTCCCGGATCCCTAGCGTGGTAGCAGTGTGGGCTGGAGAGTGAGCGGGGCAGCAGGGACCCGTGTCACCGCGCCTTCCACCGCGAATGCCTCCCGGACAGCTGCACTCTCCGTGCCGACAACCGGTGAGTGCACCTCAGAGGCTGGGCGCCCCGCTGCCATCGCTGACAGGACAGGCGCTTTTATAATTTACAAACCCTTAAAAACTCCCTTAACTTTGAGGAACAGGAGGAGGATGGGAGTAAGGGTGGGAGCTGGCGGAGCAGAGAGGAATTTGAAGAGCTGAAACTTAATTTCATGCTTATACCCTCTGGTGAAGGGTGGTTATAGAAGAGCACGAATGCCGGGGTTTTGGTCTGAGAATATTACGGGGCGAAAAGTTATTTCACAGATACTTCCCGGTAGTAATGCGTTATCAGGACCCCGAAATTCTTCTAGTTCTGGGCGGAGAACAATGCTTAGAAGGTAGTACGAGCTTATCCCAAAAGTTGACAGCGAAGGCCACTAGCTGTCTTTAAGTGGAACATTGCAGTGTCTACCTGTTTCACATTTGGAAAGATACATGTTGATTCGGAATAAAGGTCGTCCTGATAAACACCGGGAACGAAACATTAATACAGCTGCTTTACATGTCCGTGGCCTGAGTCTCAGGTATTTGCCAAGTAGAGTATAATCTGCTTCCAGGAGACGCCCCCAACTCTGATCGATTGAATTTGTGTGCAACATCGCGGGCACATGGGCCGTTCAGGACGGCGTCCTATAAGGAAAATTAGGTGGTTGAGGAATCTAGAGGGTTTGAGGCAGAGTGGCGGTGCTTCCGCACAGCTAACTGCACCATCCTGGGGCTTTTTGTAAGCAAAAAGATGTAATAAGAGATGTGCCGTGAGGGTGAACGTGCTATTTTAGCAGAAAAATCGTTTAAATGGGAAGTAATTCAGGTATGATCATACTTTGTTAGGATGCCGGTAACCTTAGCCATTTTCATTCCCACTTCCCAGGAACCCACACTTTTGTTTATGTAGATGCAAGTAGCCAAGAGTATAACCTTAATGTTTAGGAATAGGATTTCCTCTAAGTTTTATGGATGGTTTCTGAAATAATTTGAAGGAAATTATTTTGACTGAATTTACCCATCTCTCCATTCCTTCAAGTGGCATAGTCATCTACTTGGTTACGAAGTAGGCATTTTATGAGGATTTTAAAGCGCGTGGGGGAAGGGTCTTTATTGTTAAACTAGACTACCTTCACAATCCACACTTTTTCTACCTGGGTACCGATCGTGAATAACTTGGAAATCGTTAGCACATTGTCTGCTAAATTTAGGCTTGGAAGTGCTGAGGCTCTTTGCAGGGATACTTAGTGGGCGGACTGGTCATCGGAGTTGCTCCGGGAGCACTGATTTGCGTGAGAAGAGCCTCGCGTTGCTAGGGAATTATGCCTGGCTCTGAAGATAGTCTCAGTCACAAACTCCTCCACCTCCTCTGCCCTCCTTCACGGCCTCTTTGCCTCTCCCCTTCCCCTCTTGCCCTGCCCTGCCCCCAATGCGAAGTTTAGGATTGTGTATTTAACCTCTTACTTAGGTTTTACATACAAATACTTAGCCTTTCTGCAGGATTTAAAAAACTGTAATCTGTCTTTCCTCTCTGGATCAGCTGACGGACTCTTAAACTGTATGGACTTTTTCACCCTCTTTCTTGAGTCACATTATTATTAGGAACTTTATTTTCTCTCAAGTCAGCCATTTGATAAGTTAAGTCCGGCAACCTTGGAACTTTCCAGCCAGTGGAGTCCTAAATCAGGCTATTTTTGTTTTAACTTCTGTTTTTCAGTAAATTCTACAAGTAGAAACTGCAACTAAATGGTTCAATGAAACCCAAGTCGAATGTCCCTCCCTTAACTTGAGAAATTCCTTTCATAACTCAACAAACTCCAAGAGTGTGTAAGATCTCTGAGGAGGTTTCTTTTCTCTAACGATGTAACTGTGTTGATAACAGCCATCAAACCACTTCATAGGTTTCTGCTATTTTTTCTTTGTCTCTTAGATACAATCTTTAAAAGCTTTCTGTGAAGAAGCTGGGGACTAGGTAGCCAAATCCCAGTTGCAGATAAGAAAGGAGGCCTCATGCAGTGTCTGCAAAGTCGGGTGGCTGACACAGTCCTTGAGTCTTTTATGCACATAATAGCACTTACAAATGACACAGCTTATTTACTCTGCACCAGGCACTGCTCGAGCACATGAGCTGCTTTATTCCTCACAGCCATTCTATGAGGTCGGTGCTGTTATGATTCCGTTGAACAGATGGGGGAGTTTGAGATGCACAGGCTAAGGTACTATTGATCATGCAGGCATTAAAAGGGGGACCAAGATTTGATCCCAAGCAGTGTGAGTCTAGATGAAACTTCAGACTGCAGGATGCTACCTTGCTGTTCTGAAGCTCAATACATACATCAGAAAATGAATGTCAAGTAAGTTAACGATGACACAAAATTATATGATTCTCTTCTTTTGTTTCTAAATTATTAAACTTTTAAAAATTGTGTTAAATTTATTGGGGTGACATTTGTTAATAAAAATTATATAGGTTTCAGCGTACAGTTCTGTAATACCTCATCTGTATATTGCATGCTTCTTTTCTGAAATGAAATTCTCTCAGAGGCCAGCGGCTGAGGGGTGAGTTGCCTGTGGGACGTTTCCTGGCGCCTCATACTGGAGCTCCAGGCAATTGTGTGTTTATTGTTGTTTTTGTTTTGGTTTTTTTTTGGCTGTGAGTTTTCAGTGTGTTAGGTTTTTGCTCCTGTGCATCTCCAACGTCTTTCAAAGAGAGGCGGTGCTTTCAGGAGCACAATAGTTTAAGAAGACATACAGGCCTCCAGATTCTTTTAGGTCTCTTACATTTTTTTTACCTTTAATTCTTTAGAATGGAGTTGTTCTAAAATTCTGAGCATCATTTTCACCCTTGGTTTACCTTCTTTTTCTCATTTACAGGTCCCCAGGTGTAGCACCTGATTTGTATATAAGAACTAAGATATAATAGTGGCTAATATAGCTAATTGGCCTTAACTTAAGTCTTGCCTATGATAAATTTGGCTTTCCTGGCCTCTTTCTTAGACCACAACTCCTCGAGGGTCATTGATCTAGATGTTACATTAGCTTTCTTGGCACCTTGAGATGTATACTCTGTAGTATGAAAAAATTCTGGTCACAAGAGAGGCCAGCTGATTCACAGGTTTAATGAGTCTTCTTTCCCTTTTTCATACCCATCACAGGCAGAAGGAGGATTTGAGGATTTTCCCATGTCTAAATGAGCTTTTTAAGTCATTTGCATCAGAATTATTCCTGAAACTTGATCTATCATCATGAATTTGCTTAAATTAAAATCCATTTTACATGCTTCTAGCTTCCAGGCCTGAATTTTATTTGCTAGGTTAGTTCCTGAATTTGGTAAAGTAGTTCTTTTTCTTTAACACCAAAGGCATAAAAAGGCATAGAGAAGCATGCAGGGAGGGTTGCCCCCTTGGAGGAGCAGCAGGGCTGGAAATTGTAAAGGGCCTGGAGCCTCAGCTTCTGGGACTTCTGAGCTGTTTATGTTTAGGGAAAGTTTGTTTTCGGTGGCTATGGCTTATGCCACCTACTCAGTGAGTAAGGAGTAAGCTGTCTGGATCTCAGGTTTCCCCTCTGCAAAATAAGTGAGCTGGATGGTTTATCTAAGGTCCCTTTCTTCATTGCCATCTTGAATTCACGCATCTATAGACACAGCCCTCATTTTTTAAATAAAGGCATGGAGAAGCCCTATCATTTTATGTCAGTTTCCCATTGATTTCAAATGCCAACACAAATATAGTGAACAGGGTATTTATGTTTTCTTTTGCAGGCTCTCTGGAAAGCACAACAGTAATGGAGTACATGAGCACTGGAAGTGATAATAAAGAAGAAATTGATTTATTACTTAAACATTTGAATGTGTCTGATGTAATAGACATTATGGAAAACCTTTACGCAAGTGAAGAGCCGGCGGTTTACGAACCCAGTCTAATGACCATGTGTCAAGACAGCAATCAGAACGAGGAGCGTTCAGAGTCCCTGCTGCTCAGTGGCCAGGAGGTGCCTTGGTTGTCATCAGTCAGATATGGAACTGTAGAGGATTTGCTTGCTTTTGCGAACCATATATCCAACACCGCGAAGCGTTTTTATGGACACCGACGACAAGAATCTGGAATTTTATTAAATATGGTATGTTTTTTCCTCATCAGTTGAGTGCTGTGTTTAGCTTTCCCCCTGCAGCTTCATTGCATGCACAGTGGCATTTGAACTTGATTTAAACCGACTGCCAAGTATGATTTTTAAAAAATATAACATCTGTAAGAATCACCTTCATGTTAAAGATACAAAAAGAGCCTTTATTAAAAGTTCCATTGAAAGAATTTTGGTAGTAGTTCTACAAATAGGCAATGAAGCAGAGTGTATTTTAATTTAACAATTCATTAAAAAACTGATTCATCAATGAAGAAGAGGAGAAAGACTTAATGAGAATCCTTCATTTGAGAGGGGAATAATTAATATTTCTGAAGGCTGACTTTTTTTTTTTTTGCTTTTTTTCTTGTCACATCTGGAAAAGTCACAATATTAATACTGTATAAATTCAGTTTTTGTAGAAATGTAGTGTGTAGGCAGTAAATAGCTATCTACAGATTCACTCTCTTTAATTGACAAAGTATGGATGACAAATGACATATTTGCTTAGTCCCAAGTATGCAAATAATCCAAAATATTATGACAACATTTTGTTGCCATAAGAGTAGATCAGGTGATGTGTGTAGGTGTGCCTGGCATTCTCTCAGTCTTTAGTATGTCAGAGGTGATTGTAGGTGTTGGCTAAGGGTGATCTAATTTTTGAAAAAGAACAATTAAAGGAGTAGGTGGTAACTTGCAGAACATGCTTATCGATGAAAGTGACTCCCTTGCCTTTGATGCATATAAACAGCAAAATGGCTAATGTGGGGAGGTCAATGCTAAACAGTAAAGAGTCTGGACAAAGAATTTAATAATTTGGGGGTTTTTGCATACCGCATTCATTCAGTAAAAAGCACAGTAATTTAGGTCAGCTATGTAGTGAATTATTTTGTTAGAAACCTGTTATCTGTAGTTCAATTTGGAGGAAGATTACATTTTGCATACTTGTGTGACTTATTTTGGTCTGGTATACCAAATTGTATTTAATAGTTGACAAAGTACTTAACATTGACTGTTCTGCTGATCATTGAACTAGAAGGAAAACCTGATTTTCTTAGTTAAAATACATCTGGAGAACTCTGGTTCTAGATTATATATAGGTCTATAATGACAAACACAATTGGTTATGTATTTCTTTTTTCTAACATTTATTTGTGAAAATGGACATTTTAAAGGAAAGCATGCAGAATAAACAAATTACTTTAGCTAGTAAATATGCAGAGGCTTAGGTATGCCTCTCCTTGTCCATCAGACTGGTGAAAGACAGGACATGGACCTTCACTGGGAATGTACAGAAGGAATTCAGGAAAATTAGAAGGAGTCCAAAGAAATAGCTCCCTGAAGGTTTTGGAATTTAAAAAAGAAAACGGCTAATTCAGAAAAGGAGAGAAATGAAGATATTTAAAGAAAGTGAAAATTTTAGGTCAACAAGTGTAAGTGTAGAATGGCAGTTCCTGTCATCGAGTCTGTGCTCCGTAAATGAAGAAATCCATATTTTGGAGGAAATTTAAGAATAGGACTTATATTGGGTTGGCCAAAATATCTGTTTAGTTTTTTCCCGAACTAAAAGACACATTTTTCATTTTCACCACTAACTTTACTGATTTGTATATTTTGAGTACGTCGGCTCTCTCCTGCTCTTGGCTTCTAGCGGGTGGAGGCCAGGGAGCTGCTAAACATCTCCCAATGCATAAGACAGCCCCACAGCAAGTAAATATTTGGCCAAAATGTCAATAGTACCAAGAAACTTCATAAACCATTTTTGATACGTTCAATTCATTACAGCACCTTCTCCATATAGGGCACAAATCTTTTTTTTGGCATTACAGTTGCCTTTTTACCTTTCTTGGAATAACAAAGCATAATACTCAGAAAATGTTGCCTATTTCCTTCCATCTTCAATGTTAAAATGGCTACACAAAAGTTCACCAATTTTGATAAGTTTTTAAAAAATGCACGCAGATATGATAGCTGTCATAATACAATCTAACAAAATTGTTTCAAATGAAGCTAAAGATAACTAAGCACTACTAGAGCCACCATACGGGAAAAACCCAAACGGACTTTTTGGCTAACCCAATAATAAGGTAGGGATCTTGAAAACTTTAAAAAAGATTTTTTATTTTAAAAATGATCAAGAATGTAAAATATGAAGCAAGAAGACTTAAAAACAAAACAGAATAACCGGAGCATCTTAAAATCCACAGGGACATAGACTGTGCGTCACTGAGAAAACCAGCCCAGTGTTGGATGCCTCTGGGGGCCGTGGTTGGCTTTCCTGTCCCTGCCCTTAAGAATCAGCTCAGTCCCTGTGACTGCTATACCCTGTCGCAGCTCTGTGTTTCATGAGTAATAATATGGGAAATGTGACTTTCCATCCTTGATCATAGCTAGACTGAGACAAGAGGGTACAGGAGGCAGGGTTTGCTTTAGCTCCCTTTCATCCTTATGTTGTGGTCTCCTTGGAACCATCCTGTGGTCAAAACCTTTCTCTCCCCATGGTCTTCCCCCTAATACACTCTTAAAAATTTTCTCTTTTACGCTTCATTTGCCACTCTGTCTCTCTCCTTTACAAAATGACAGCTAATGATCTGCCAAACAGCTTGGTTCCATGATAAAATCTACTGTAAGTGTATCTACGTATGGACCAAATGCTTTCATTCAGGTGTTCACCTGTTCATTTGTTAGATGTAGCTGAAGCAGCCGCAATGTATTGGGTGCTTTTCCAGGCGCTGGAGATACAGTACTGAACGGTTTGTGCTTTCTGGTAGCTTATTGCCTGGTGATTGCAAGAGGCAAGTAAACAGGCAATTATAATGCAATGTGGTACTTCCCAATACAACTATGCTATGACTGCTGTGGGGATGGTCAGGCAGAGTGCCTCACAAAGCCACGGGGTGGGGGGGTTGGGCAGCCAGGAGGCTGTCAGAGAGGCTTCCAAGGGGAACTGATGCCTCTGTTCCTGAGTTAGAGTCAGCCAGACAGAGGGGATGGGGAGCAGAGTGTTCCAGCTGAAGAGAGGAGCATGTGCAAAGACCTGGAGGTGTGGAGACATCATGTGTTCCAGGCAGCTAAGCACCACACGCCTGTGGAGTTAATTAGTTAACTAGGGTGGAGGAACAGGAATTACAAAAATATCTTGAAGCCCAGCCATGTTAAATGATGGTCTGCGTGTGTGTGCAGGCGTACACTCTTTTCCTAAAAATATTTCATAAAGATTCCACCAACTTCCAGCAGGACCCAGGGAAGAAACTTTAGGAGACTAACACTGGGGTTGCTTTGTGTAAGAGTGCTTTGCTTTTCAAGTTATTTATAATCTAGACAATTCGTAACCTGATCTGGGATGAATAACCTAAAATGGGTTCCAGACACTTGACTCTGGAGATGATAGAAGGAGCCAAAGGGCCCAAAGGGCTCACTCCCCGATGTGGGTGTGAGACGCTGCTTGCTGATTCTCAGGGGTTAGTCATGGGGTCCCTGCTTCTCAGGGCTGGAAAATCCTTAAAGATACTGAGTCAAACCGTCCTCTGTCTGTTGCTGAAATCACCCCACTTATCATCTCCAATAATTGCCTGAGCTGTGAGGAGGAGTTAATCATGTAGTGCGACATTTAATTTCATATTTGGCCAATTCTGATTGTAAGGCAGTCTTTCTTCCCTCCCTCCCTCCTTCCCTTCTCTCCCTCCCCCCTTCTCTTCCCTCCCTTCCTTCCATAAAACTAAAATTCATCTCTGATTCCTCTTAGTCCTATTTCTACTCTTTGGCCATCAAAAGGTAGATGGAATGAGTTGGACTGCAGGCCCATGAATTGAAGTGCTTGTGTATGTATCTCAGCTCTGAAATGGATTAGCTGTGTGACCTTGGCTAGTTAGCACACCCTTCTGTGCCTCAGTGTACTCATCTGTAAAATGGGTAACATGCCAGCGCTTACTCCATAGGGTTGTTGTTAGAAGAAATGATATGAAGGCACGTGACCTGTTTACACAAAGTGAGTGTTGACAGAACACAAACAATATTGCAGTATTTGTTGTATATAATTGTTATTCTCCTTCCTTGTGACAGTCCTGTCAATATTTTGAAAATTGTACATTCCCTACATCTTCCCTCCTCTTTTACAAACACGTCCCCTAGTGTCTGCTACCCCTGGGCTATTGCAGTGTCAGCTTTCCTCATCATCTGGGGCTCCCTCTGAACGCAGGCCTGTGCCGTGCCTGTCTCGTAGCCTGAAACAGGAACGCAGTGGGCCATTTGTGGTATGACCAGCAGAGTGAGACAGGACCAGCTCTGCCTCTGTTCTAGAGAATTGGCTGTTTTAATGGAGCCCAAGGACTCATCCATTTCACAGCAGCCACATCTCACAGGCCTCTCATGAAATGGATTTTCACTGAAATACCCGAGGATTTTTCTGAAGCGCTGCTCCTGGCCCACTGTTGTCCAATACCTATGACAGTGACCTGGATGAGGAAGTCAAAAGCTTATAATGCATGCACTTGCAGCTGAAGAACTGGCAGAAACATGCAGCGTGGAGACCCACAAGGGTATCTGGTGGGGCCCCTAGAAAGAAGAAGAAGGAGGGTGAAAACAAAAGCATCTTCAACCCAAATAAGGAAGGTCTAGAGTGAGGGGAAAACCAGGGGCTGTGCAGAACGGCAGAGTGGCCTATCACCCTGTGCGCTAGGGCCTGTCATCAAAGTGGCCATGGAGAACTCGTGGGACATTCTGAGGGGATGCCCTGAATGTGGCAGATTGTGAAATACGGGTAAAGGCACTTGCAGGATTTGATGCAAAGAGGAGAAGGCTAAGGTATGCTCAGTGACATGTAAACATAGGCTTTTAATAACTGGGTTTTGATCATGCCTTAGCTTTAATTACAGTTTTCTAGAAGATAAAAGGCTCATCCAAAGAAGAGGAGTGGTGACTTTGGGGTCAGACAGCTCTGAGTTTGAATCCTGACCTTGTCACTGACTAGTGAGTTACTTAACCTCTGAAGCCAGTTTTCTCATCTGTAAAAAAGGAGATAAAAATAGCACTTACCGCGTAGGACTGTTGTGAGGCTCCGATGAGATAATGTGTAAAGTACTGAGTATAGTGCCTGGTCGACAATTAGCACTCAGTGTATGGCTACTATTATTATGCTTTATCCTCTTGGATAGAATAAGAGGACACTGGGTCAAATTGGATTATAAGAAATTTTGGTTAAACAAAAGTAAAGCTTTCATGCAAGTGTGTTAAACACTGAAGTGGATGACTGAGAGGCTATGGGGAAATTGGATCTGTAAATATTTAATAATAAGAAAAGCAAGTAAGAAACTATTTTATACATAAATATATATCTATATTTAAAAAAAGAAAGGTAATATTCAAGTACAGTTGAATGCGGTGAGCATGGCTCTGTTCAAATGTGGAAGAGGACTAGATTCCTCACGTTCTTATCTGTAAGAAGAGGCCTCTAGTAACTTGAGGTGACACACATCTTGAAAGGAGGTCCTATTTCAAAGGAGTCAAACCTGTGGTCTGTCCTTAGTCCTCTTCCCTCCAGGGCTCTGCATAGGATCCCGCATGGAGGCAGTGCTCACGTATTCAAATTTTCAATGAAGTGACTTCACACTTCTAAGTATTAGAGTTATTCTGTTTCCTTTCCTGACTAATAGTGAGCACAGCTGTTTGTGGAGTGTACAGCTAAGATTAGCAATGGTGGAGACGGAGTGAATAACCCTTACGGTCACTAGAACCACTCCCGGAGCAGAGGCCTGGGAGGAGCCTCTGCCTCTGTACAGGAATCTGGGGTCTGTTCTTTTCCCATGTGATCTGCAGTCCCCGTTTGCTTTATTTGTGCTTGAAATAACTTGATGCTGTTTTGATAGTTCCATAATTCCCAAATTCAGTATCGAGTTATACTTAGGAAAAACTTGTATTTTTGAGACACTTTATCCCTTGGAAGAACACCTTAAATGTTTTTTTTAGGCCTGTACTCCATGTCCTATCTCCTGTGGACTACCTTATTAATTTGTTTTAGTTTTAATTATTTCTCTTTGTCATATTTTACTCTTTGAAAATTGAGATAGACCTTATATGCAGTAAAATGCATAGATCTTAAATGTGCAGTTTGTAGAGTTTTGGTAAATGCCCTCACTTCTAACCCACACTGCTATCAGAATACATCTCTTGGTTTGTGAGTGGACTGGTTTTGAAATCTCTTGCTCTGAGTGCTTGCTCACGAAATCTTAGAGGTCAGGGGCCATCTGTCTCTTATGTGTAGCTGCCTCCCTAGCACCGAACACAGTGCCTGGCACGTATTATGCACTCAATAAATATTAAGTGAGTAAGTAGATGAGAAATAATGCTGCCCTTACTTTATTTAGGTAGCGCTGTCAGCTCATAGCTCTGGCATAACACATTGTTTTTCAGAATCCTCCATGATCATTGGTTTATTTCCACACTCTCTCTGGATGCATCATGTGTGAGGAATAGCTATGCGGACTAACAGGTTAGCACAGTCTAATTGGAAGCAAGTCACCTTGCAGGCACAGTTTATATTTATGCAATCTTTATTTTCAGCCTCTTGGTCACAGTAGTCACGCTCCCTTAGGTAAATCATTTTTAAGTTCAACTTGGCAATTCATGACTCCTTGAGTAGGTGGAAATCTGATCAGGTCTGACCAGGGATGGACATGTTTCTGTTACATGCTTTCTCTGCCTTGCTGGAACTCTAAATATAGTCTCTGTACACTGTTATGATTACACAGTGACACTAATTTCAAACACTGCATGTAAGTATGCAATCTAAAGTAACCAGTTTTTAGAGGGCGTGTCTTAGAAAAGGACTGTGCTGGAATGCTCACCCTCCTGCATTTTTATTTGTTGTAGGTAATCACTCCCCAAAATGGACGCTATCAGATAGACTCTGATGTTCTCCTCATCCCCTGGAAGCTGACCTACAGGAATATTGGCTCCGATTTCATTCCTCGGGGGGCCTTTGGGAAAGTGTACTTAGCACAAGATATAAAGACTAAGAAAAGAATGGCATGTAAACTGGTATGTACTCTGTAACCAGACAGCACACACTGCATGTTTGGGATTGTGGCATTGGTTTATTTATTAGCATTACTCAAAACTTGTTAGCCTTTGACTGGATCTTGTCTGAGGCTGCCCCATCCAAAAGCATCTGTATTTTATGGATTTGCTTGCTTCCTGGGGCCGTTCAGCTCCTAAGTCTGTCACAGTGCATAGTTGATTTTAATGTAGGATGCCGTGATAAAAAAAAAGGAAGTGCTGGCTAATTTAGCACCAGTTTGGATAACATCATCTAACACCATCCCTCTTGTGGTAAGAGCAGGTGGAGAGGCACACTGCTATAGGAGCAAAGCTTGTGCTACTCCTTTAGTCCTACCTGCTGTGGAAGTGCCACACAGAGAAGCAGAAACTGGAAAGGATTGAATTTAAAGAGGCCAATTCTTGAAAAGATCCCATCTCTTCTTATTAACCAATCATAGTGCATATGGTCACCAAGAGCTACATACTAGCATGTTCATGGCAGCACTATTTGGAATAGTCCCAAGAAAATAAATGATTTACAATGATAATAATAATGTAGAGGAGTCTCCTAATCATTATGTTGGACTAAAACAGCCAGACACAAAATAAGATCTGCAGTATGAGATTCTACTTATATCAAGGCCAAAAACAGGCTAACGAAATGCATGCTGTTGGAAGTCCGGTTGGTGGGCTGCCAGTGACTGGAAGGGGCCTGGGGTCATCTCTGGGTGCTGGGAGAGTTCTGTTTCTTCATCTAGATGATGGTTACATGGGTGTGTTCAACTGATAATTCATTGAGTTTGATACTTAACCAGTGTTAAATTTTTATGTTTGTCTGTTTTACTTTAAAACATTTTTAAGTGCAATCAAAATAAACTCACTTGATTTAACAAAAATAAAATAAAAAATTGTTGACTATCACCCCAATCCCTGTTGTCAATTTAAAAGATTGACAATATGTTAGCCTCATTTGTTCCTTCATAAAGATTTGGTGGACTCTCTGGGATTAGAAGGAAGAACAGGTGTCATAATAAGCCATGTGAAGCTTGCATTTAGAGGGGACATGTTCAAGTTCTTTTGAAAAAACCTGGTGACATTTTATAAAGTTCTTAGAATCAAAGTGTCCCATGTTTCAGTTTCATCATAAAAGGCATGGAAAAATAGCTTGTTTGTTTTCCTTGTAGTACTTATATTTGATTTTTAAGCTATATTTTTTCTTAAAAAAGAAAAACATATGATTACCAACCCCAAAGAGATTCAAAAGAGAGTAGGCTGAAGAATGAGATCCCTTTCCTTGAGGAAACTACTGTTAATGGGTTCTTATGTATGCTTCCAGAAAGTCTCTATGGACATATAGTTTTCTTTTTTTTTTTTAATTGCAAATGGGAAAATAATATATGTACTTCTTCATCTTGCTTTTTTCATCTAATTATATTTTGGAGACATTTCATATCTACACGGAAAATTTTCTTTATGAATGACTTTTTTTTTTAATCCTCACCTGAGGACATGCCTATTGATTATAGAGAAAGAAAGAGGGAGAGAGGAGAGGGAGAAAAACATTGATATGATAGAGAAATATCAATCGGTTACCTCTCACCCCCCCTGACTGGGGACCGAACCTTTAACCTAGACATATGCCCTGACCAGGAATCAAACCCATGACCCTTTGGTTTACATGACAATGCTCCAACCAACTGAGCCACACTGGCCAGGGTTCAGTCCTTATTTTAAATGCATTGTTAGAGCATGAGCTGTGGGACGAAAGACATATTATTTCATGACATGAAATACTGAAAAATGATCTAAAATCTAAGTGTTTTAGAAATTACATCTATAATAGAAATTATATCCCTTTTGATTTAATCATAAATGATTTTTTGGTTGGCTTTCTACCCTCTAAATGAAAATAATAATTTACACATTATTTTGTTTTTAATTTTCTCATTTTGGACTGTTTAAAGCTGACATAGTGCAAAGGCAGATAACAAGTCAACGTTATTTTAACAAGGCAATACAATTGTAGGCAGATCAGGGCACCTTCAGGGCATTTATTTGTTTTCTGTTTTGTGGCTTGACCTAAATTACAGTCATCCCGTGGCTTCTAAGGGGGAGTGGTTCCGAGAAACCCAAAGATACCAATATCTTCAGATGCTTACGTCCCTTAGCTGGCCCTCCTTATCTGGGGTGTGGAGCCTGCATTGTCCTGGGTTTGTTTGGAATCTTACTGGTATTTTTGTGTTTTAGATTCCAGTAGATCAATTTAAGCCATCCGATGTGGAAATACAAGCTTGTTTTCGGCATGAGAACATCGCTGAGTTATATGGCGCGGTCCTCTGGGGTGAAACTGTCCATCTCTTTATGGAAGCAGGCGAGGGCGGGTCTGTTCTGGAGAAACTGGAGAGCTGTGGACCAATGAGAGAATTTGAAATTATTTGGGTGACAAAACATGTCCTCAAGGGACTTGATTTTCTACACTCAAAGAAAGTGATTCACCATGATATTAAACGTGAGTTATCTTTGTACATGTACCCTTTTGGCTTGAAGAGACTAGTTAGACAGGGGGCAAATGGATGCTTTCCTTCAATCTAAAGATCTTTAGAGGCATGGAGTGCAGCTCCCTTGGAGCTCTTGGCGCTTTCTTCCTTGGTGCTTCTGAAACGCCTTTTAGAATCAAGAGGGGTCACTAGAACTTTCAATGTCATAAGGAAGGGTGCCTATCCAATTGTGGGAAAGATTAGAGCCACACACCTATTAAGTACTGCCTATGCCCTTATGGCTTTTAAAATACTAATTTACTTAAACACACAGACATACAGCCGCATCTTTTTGAGAAATAATTAGCTTTTAAATTTTGAACATCAACTTGGCAATAGTTTATTTAACAAGCCTTCACTGACCGCACTTGTAGGAGCAAGAGATAATGAGGAAATGCACAGAGAAACCTACTATGGAACCTTAAAGATCAGTTGGGCTACCAGAACTTGCCCTGAAAAAAAATGTGTATTCTACATTTTTGTTTTAGAAAATGGCTTGATAATTTTATGTTTATAGCACAGAATTTGAAACTCAAGCTCTTGGTCATTATTGTATTTAACTTTAGAGCTATAATTGACAAATAACATTGTATAAGTTTAAGGTGTACAGTGTAATGATTTGATAAATGTTTATACTGCAAAATGATTACCACAGTTAGGTTAGTTAATTAATGTTCATCACCGTACATAGTTATACTCTTTTTTTGATGGTGAGAACTTTTAAAATCTACTCTTTTAGCAACTTTTCAATATACAAAATGGTATTGCTAATTATAGTCATGATGCTGTGTGACATCCCCAGAACTTATTCATGTTATAACTGAAATTTTTATCCTTTGACCACATTCACCTACTTTCCCCACCCGCTGGCTCTGGCAACCACGAGACTGTTCTGTTTTTATGAGTTTGGTTTTTTCAGATTCCACATATAAGTGAGACCAGTGTTTGCCTATCTCCGTCTTATTTCACTTAGCACAATGCCCTCAAGTTCCATCTAAGTTGTCACAAATAGCAAGATTTCCTTCTTTTCTTAATGGCTAAATAATATTCCATTACACACACACAGATCACATTTTCCTTACCTGTTTTTCCATCTGTGGACACTTAGGTAGCTTCCGTGTCTTGGCTGTTGTATCTTGAACATTGTTAGTGACTACAGTCATTTGCATCCACCGTGGCTGAATTCTTGGCAGATCTGAAGTGATTTCACCTACACTCTCAGCCTCCTCTTTTGAATATATTACACATATTTCAGTAGGGAAAACTTTTCAATCTATTCTGATTTGGGACTTGCTGTTTTAGATAATGTTTTCATTTTATTTATGTGTATATAGACAATTTTATACTAAAGATTTTCTTCTCTTTACAGCTAGCAACATTGTTTTTATGTCCACAAAAGCTGTCTTGGTGGATTTTGGCCTAAGTGTTCAAATGACTGAAGACATCTATTTTCCTAAGGATCTCCGCGGAACAGAGGTATAATTATATTCCTACAAGAATGGTTGATATCTTATAGAATAAAAATAAAAAATGTTCTAGCATTACCGCGGAAAGCACAAAGAAAGGGAGGAAAAACCATTGCATTAAATTTTTATTGTCATTGGAACATATTTAATGAGTTCTTGCTCTGTGCCAAGTGCTTATTTTAGATTTTAGCCATTTAAATGAATTATATATTTTAACCCTTACCATAATCCTCTTATTGGTAAATACTATTATTATATGCAAGTACTATTATGATTTCCATTTTACAATAAGAAAACGAGATTGAAGAAATTAAAATAAAGTGCCCATAGCTTCTCAGCTAGTTATAGATCTGGAGCTTGAACCCAGTTTTTTGTGAGTCTAAAGTCTAATATCTAACTGCTGTATAAATTTTTAATATAACTAACATATATATTCATAGTTTATCTAATATTACTGTTTTGGTTCATTTACAGCCACAATTTTCATGGTTGTTAATAATATTTATTGATAACTGACAACATTTTAGGCCTATCTTTAATCCTAGGGATCTCATAATAAACCTCAGGGTTGTTATAGCTTAAATATATTTTATTGAAGATGTAAACTAGTTATAATACTTACATTTGGGAAGCAAAATAAAGCAAAACCAAAACAAAACTTTCCTGAATCTAAATGAGATTCAGGGAAATACATTACTGGGTTTTCAAATAAAAATTAACATTCACATTTTTAAGCTGAGGAGTTGATTCACATGGCGAGTATCTGTTGAGCATCTGCTGGATGGTGGGCTGTTGTAGGACCAGGGATGGGACATGGGACAAGGCCAGCAAAGATCATGCCCTTGGTCGTACTTCAGCAGTCCTTACTCTTTGGGGGAAGGAGCAGTGTTAAATTTTGCTGAATCATTAACAGAGCAACAACTTAGTTCACAGTTGGTTATGATGGACAATGGGGAATACAATTGGGAAGATAAATAGGTATAGTAGCTGCCTCCCTCACCCATTCCACTGTGGTGGGTGCTTAACTATCAGCCTCCCAGCCCCATGCCCTTCTCTCTACTGGAAATGCCCCCAGAAAATGGAGAAGAGGGCACTTTGCCCCAAGATTATCAGGTCAGTCTTAGTATTCAACCTAATAACCACCCTTAATCTAGCTGGTAGATATATTGATTACGCTGAATTCAACTGCAGTGCCAAAAAAAAAAAAAATCTTCATTTCAAAACAACACTCTATAAGCCTTTTCCTTCTTTTTAAAAAAATACTATATTTATTTTTAGAGAGAGGAGAAGGGAGGGAGAAAGAGATGGAGAGAAACATCGATTGGTTGCCTCTCTCATGCGCCCCATCTGGGGACTGACTGGGCTTACAACCCAGGCATGTGCCCTGACCAGGAATCAAACCAGCACCTTTTCACTTTGCATGATGAGGTCCAACCAATTGAGCCACACCAGTCAGGGCTATAGGCCTTTCCTTAACTCTCACAAAGCAAAGACTCCCCTGAGCAGCAGAAGAAATCCTTGTTTTTGCTGATATTACTGAAATTATTCTGGAAAATGCTTGAGAGAGGATTCTTGATAGTCATCTTTGAGCAGAATAATATTCAGAAGAGAACACTGTAGACTTTTTTAAAAATGCTTTAGTCCAGGATGTTAAGAATACACAAAACCTAATAAGACTCAATGCTGATGACAGTCTTTTTTTTTTTTTTTGGGAAAATGTCCAGCATATTTTGGCATTAGTCAGAAGTTCAGATACATGACACTATCATTTTTCCTGGAGCCAGCTTGAGAAACAAACTGCTTATGGTATTAAAGATGGAAAATACCTTTTTCTTCCTGGCAGTATGATCAAATCAAACATTTTGCAATGGCTGGAGGAAGACATGCCCTTTCTGGGATTCTCTAGCAAAAAAAGAATGTATGCTAGAGTATGAGATAATCATACTACTCTTGCATAGTATATGAATCAGGTTATTTTTACCAAATGTAAATTGCTTCAATTAGCTTTGGTGTTTAGTGTTTATAGTTATAAACTCTCTTCTAATCAACCTGCATTTACTATATGTGTGGTACTCAGGAGCCGAAATTTGATCATGAGCAAGGCTGTGAAGTCACCAGTGGAATCTTATCAGCAAGCTTGTTTTTTACTCCTCATACTTAAAGGGCCAATAAGATATAGTGAGTCAAAGTCAACAGTGCAGATTTGCTTTCTGTTAGAACCTTTTCACTTGACTACTTCATAGCTGTAGATGATTTTTGATCACTGCAGTGTAGCTTGTCAGTGCGCACACTAGTAACCTGTGTTTGATCTCTCTCTCTGTCTCAGCATTTATGTTCAAAACATTATATTGTAACCACATAATATATACAGTGGGTGGGCAGAGTAGGGTTATAGTTGTGAGCACTTGAAACACAGAGTTTATTCTTGTATTATTATTTATTAATTATTATATTATTTATTAGTAGTACAGCTGTAAACTTACTTTGACCACCCCTGGAGACAGGGTTAACCTGGTATATATTTAATCTATTGTTTTTTAATTAGATGGTGCAGAGAAAGAATAAATAATGAATGCAGATAGCTAATTAGAATCACAGTTATAGCATGGTCCTTTTTAAAAAGTTTTTCTTCTGATTCAGTGTTTGGTCTTTATGTAAGTTAACATGTAATTAACACATGTGTGGACACACACACACACACACACACACATACAGAGGCTCTTTCCCTTTCTAATAAATGTGCTGAGAGGTGAAGGCCTTGGCCCCTGACGTGACACCTAGGTTCCCCGTGCCGGTGCCCGTGCCTGCGGGCCTGCCACTCTCAGAGCCCCGCCCAGGTCTTCGTGCCTTCAGTCAGCCTGCCTGCAGAGCCCATGAGCACCAGGCCCTGCTGCCTTGGCTCTTGCAGAACTTGAGGAAGCGGGAGCTCTGAACCATTGAGCCCTACAGCTCTGGGCGATCCGCCTGAGCGGCAGCAGCCAGGCCACCAGAGGGACAAGACATTGCTGTCCCCAGATGTGTAGTCACATAGAGCCTGCAGAGCCCCATTGCACCACTGCTGTTGGTTCCACCAACAGTAAATACTTGGCCTAATCCTTCTCCTGGGGGGAGAGGGTGGGCACCCCCTACAGACAGTCCTACCCACTGCATTACTTTGTGATGATACTGAGTAAGAAAGTCCCTCAAGATCTGTCTTTGCCTCAAGGGAAGTTTGAGAACAAGAAGGTTGGTCTGGCCAGTTTGGAGGGGGGCAGGGAGAGAGAGGGAGAGAGAGAGAGAGAGAGAGAGAGAACGAACACGAGAGAACACTCAAGCTAGCCCAGAAGTGTGTTATAGGAAGTAGTTGAGCAGGGTTTAGATGGGGAAACTGGGCAATTTCCCCAGTTTCTGTAAGCCAGGTCTTTACTTATTTACTCTGAAATGTATTCTGGGAACACTTACCCCCTTCTCATTAGTCATATAACAGACAGTATAAAATTTCTTAAAGTGAAATAGTGTTAACTAAGATATGTCTGGACCAGCCATAAATACTGATCATTGGGCACCAGGGTTTTCTCTCTTTTTCTTTTTCAAATGTAGAAACAAACACTTCTTAGGAAACTATTTCTAAATCTAGGCCTACTTTTCAAGCAGAGACTCATGAAACCAAATTGAACTTACACAGTATTAACATGGCCATCAATGTTTAGTCACTGGGCTGCATGGGAAGTAGAAATAACTAGTTCATAGAAATAACTAATTAGGATCACTTTGACAACACTTCGCTTTTTAAAGTTCTTCCCTTTCAAGTGATTAGTGTTAATACCGTGTGGACTTCTGCCACCTTTTATTACTGCAAGTAATTACTGCAGGCAATTTAGTGACAAACATGAAGTGAAGAAGACTATTTGTGGTGTCCATTTAAATATAGAAGGAACTGGTGTTTTAGCAGAAACATTAAATATGCATCAGTGCTTTGCAGAACTTTGATGAGCGGGGACCCCAGGCGGCTGGCCGCTACTCTCCTTACCTCATAGGAACAGAGCACCGGTGCTCCCCGGAATGGAAGAAGGTGCAATAAATATGGTGCTGGGGGATGAGCCAGATTCCAAAACTGGATTGGGGAAACCCAGACAAATGAGGGTAGTCAAACTGATGTTCTTTGCTGCTGTTTCAGATTTACATGAGCCCAGAAGTGATCCTGTGCAGGGGTCATTCAACCAAAGCCGACATCTACAGCCTGGGGGCCACGCTTATCCACATGCAGACGGGCACCCCGCCCTGGGTGAAGCGCTACCCTCGTTCAGCCTATCCCTCCTACCTGTACATAGTAAGTAGGAGTCCACCAGGACTAACAGGGCGGGATTCCACCTGCTCAGGAAAGCTGCTCTCCTTCCTGAGTGGGATGGTGGTGAGCTAGTGACCCATGAGAGGCAGCTGAAGGTTCTTCCCGCATGGAGGAAGCCCCATTCTCGCAAAGAGGGCATTGCTAGTTTAGGGGGAACTTACTAAAATGTGTGTTGGGCATTAATAATATGCTATTCTGTTAGACATATAATAATAAAATGCCACTTAGTAGCCTCAGAGTAGCATAAACCTGTGAGCCAAAGCAGTTGTATATGTTCTTTGAACACTTAAAAAAAAAGTATTAGATTATAGATCCTTGCACCAGCCTGGCCTGTAGTGAAACAGACAACTCCCATTTTATTGTTGGGAGATTCAGGAGCAGATACTTCCTCATTACGGCATGGTGATCCATGGGCCACTACTGAGATACAAAGCTGCCAGTGTTTATTCAAACTTAGCATGTACCTCTTCACTGAGCCAAAAGATGGGTTTAACTTGGTGTTTTTAGGAAATTAAAGGGTAACTGGCTTCAGGGTATGAACTGTATTTACTGCAGGGCGTGAGGTGGGAGACCAGTGAGTTTCCAGGTCATATTGCTAGAGTACTTTCCCTCTCGAGGGGATGTTTTCATGAACTGGTGCTAACAGGGCTGGTTTGTTGATAGATCCACAAACAGGCCCCTCCATTAGAGGATATTGCCGATGACTGCAGTCCTGGCATGAGAGAGCTGATAGAGGCTGCCCTGGAGAGGAACCCCAATCACCGCCCCAGGGCCGCAGATCTCCTGAAACATGAGGCCCTGAACCCCCCCAGAGAGGACCAGCCACGCTGTCAGAGTCTGGACTCTGCCCTCTTTGAGCGGAAGAGGCTGCTGAGTCGGAAGGAGTTGGAACTTCCAGAGAACATTGCAGGTATGGACACCCTGCTGCTTGCTCTGCCCCGGGCTTCCCTTCTTTTTCTGTCAACATCACAATGCTGATGGAGTGTGAAAGCACTTGGAAAAAAATAAGAAAGGGACTTCTTGAGTGCCATAAATTCTCTGAGAAATTTCAGCAAGAATGTTAGCAAAAGCATGTTTAAAAAATGGCTAATTTACTAGCAAGTTGTAACAGGTTTTTAGTGCAAGTGTAGGTAACACAGTCATTGAGAATTGCCTCTGACTTGCTTTTATGCAACAGAGAATAACATTCGTCTTCAAAAGCAAATCAAGCAGGACAGTTTTGCTGTTGGTAAAGAGCAGGGTTCTGTGAAGTGCAGTTATGGTAAAAGCCACTCCAGTCTTTGCTTGGAAACGTCAAGGGCACTGCTCTGCTCAGCTCAGATAAAATGTTGTTTGAAGTCAATCTGCATTTCTGTCTTCCTGTGCTTAAACAGCTATAAATCTTTCCCATTTAGGAAAATCAGCACATATTCCCAGAGCATTGGATATGCATAGGAGGGGTTTCTATTTTTGATATTAAAATCTGTGGCATTCTTAATCCATTTAGGTACAAACCCAGATGTCAAGCCTGGAATGCTTGTTTGCATTTCTGTGCTTCTTCTCTGGCTTCTCCATATTTAAAGAGAACCATCTGGGATGTTGGAAAATATACAAGGATTTCTAGCTAATTTCTTGCTGTCATTCACTCTTTTTTGAACTCTCTTGTGTATGACACATTACCTAACTTAGCACATGGTTTTCAGTTCTGTAGCTCTCTAGTAAAATCAGGGCTTGAATGCTGTTTCATTAGGCACGACCTATTTTATTTTATTTTTTTGCAGGAAAAAAACATGTTTTTAGTATTGAACACATTTCCTGGTCATTTATTTTACTTTTTCAATGATTCCCTTTTCAGATTCTTCATGCACAGGAAGCACTGACGAATCTGAGATGCTAAAGAGACAGCGTTCTCTCTACATAGACCTCGGAGCCTTGGCTGGCTATTTCAACCTTGTCCGGGGCCCCCCAACATTAGAATATGGCTGACTGATGACATCGTTAGCTCCAAATTAAGACGCCGCTTTTATCTCCTGGAAGCTAGTTCTGCTGACTCTACACAGGGGCTCTGTCTAGTGCATTGTACCACTTAATAGCTGGCCCTGTGGGCTCCCATGACTCATGAATGTGACTCCATGTGGCTCCTGTGTGTTTGATTTGTGGAGCTGCCCTGGTACCCACCAGGTATAAAGGTTCTCATTTCTCAGGTGATGTGACTAAAGAGGAGGAAGTTAAGCATGTCTGGAAGGATCATTTCTGGTGACTGATTTCATTCACTGTGCACTTTGCTCAAAATTTTAAAAATACCAATTTTAAGAATAATATATTATCCTAAAATTACTATTCTTGGTTCTAACTTAAGTATGGGAATTTCATTTAACTCAGAATAGTTGTTTTGTATATATCGATGTATATTATATGTTAACTCTCTGAGACTTCATCAGTGGATTCTAGTTTAAATTAAAGTCATTCTATTTTGGGTGAATAGAACAACTTGAATACTGTAGCAATAAGCTGAACTAGGGTCTTGAAAGTGGCTCACTGACTCGAGAGGAGCCCCTGTCAGCAGGCCACTAGCGATGGTTCTGTTGTGTTCCTATGGAAACATTTTGTACTGTACATGCTATGCTTAAAACATTTAAAACATGATGTTTTGAATGTGGATAACACTGTGTAAACCACATAATTTCTGTACATCCCAAAGGATGAGAATGTGACCTTTATGAAAAATGGAAACTTTTGTCAATTCTTAATGATGCTACTTTTGTACCTCCTATGAGTCTATTTTCTTTTAAGCATTTGTATATTAAAATAGCATACTGTGTATGTTTTATATCAAATGCCTTCATGCCTCTTTCTTATATGTGTGTGTGTGTGTGTGTGTGTGTATATATATTTAACATTGTAAAGTATGTGACTATTCCTAAAGTATTTTTTTACATCATGCAAATGAAACCAACACTTTTATCCAATGTGATTGGTCAAATCAACTGAATAAATTCAGTATTTTGCCTTAATTATTGTGAAAGGTGTGATTCTCACCTGGGACTGGAGGTGGCTTCTAGGTTTTGGGATATAGGTTAAAGGGGAACATGTATCATGAGGGGGCAAAAGATACCTGAGAGCTTTGCAAATTGTATGCACGCCCCTCTTGTATTGCTGCTGTATCAGGCTGTTGTCATCTGGATTGGGTTGTGTCCCTTTGGTGCACTGAGGTCAAAAAATTGAGAGCTGCTGGTTCAGGCTAAGTGTGATTCTACTTTGGATCTTGTTTTTCTATATTTATACTACTTTGGAATACACACGTATACTTGCATGCTCTGTGCCTATTAGTGTTTGGCGAGTTAATGACTAACTTGCCTTTGTACAAGGTAGTTTTCAATCATGCACACCAAATTCTAATGGAAACTGTTGAATGGGAGTTGGGCCCATTATTCACCGAGTGAATACTATTATACTTCCGCACTCATTGAGTAAGTAAAACATGCCAGCCCAGTAGTCTTCACAACACATATGTAAAAGATGTATTGTTATCTCTAGTTTAACTCTGAGTGGGGAACAAGGCAAGGAAAGAAACAGAGCTGGTATACGAACAGAGGTCTTTCCGACTTCGTCGTTCACGTTCCTCCTCATGCTATGCTGCTTATAAATGTTAAGTCATTTCACTGCAAAGCAAGGACAGTGCCCCCACCAGATTCAGGTCTCTAAATAAGGGTGAGGTGGATTGACCACAAAGCTAATGCTGCCTCAACCTTGGTTCCTCATTTGTGTGTGTCCCTCCAAGATCCTGCGCCCACTTTCACATTATCCCTGATCAGGCGCAACAAAACCTGGACCTGAGTCAAGGTAGGCAACTTTTGATGGTTTTCACCAAAATATAAATAGTCAATATGAATTGAGTTCTAGTTAACAAATCCCACTTGGAAAAAGAAAACCAATTCTTTTTAAATAAATTGGAGCACCTGTGGAGAGAATTGGTGATGTTTTCTAAGAGGTGACCTGTGGTGCTGGTGGCTGAGAAGGTGGCCATGAGAGCTGTGAGGGGACACTGAGGGCTGGACCTTCTCTGAGCACTTGCTGAGCTGTTGACCTTGGAAGCCAAGAGTCGCCTACCAAGAGGGGTCGCCAACTAGAGACTCAGCTTAGGAGGAGCTATGAGGCCTTGAGCGGGTTCTGAGGAAATCCAGCACCCCTCCTGCTGAGAAGATGAGCCGCGAGAGTGGCAGGCTTGCGTGTACCCAGGACAGAGTAACCTTACCCCGAAACCTGCCCACCCTCTACTCTTGAAGTTTCCATGGACTCAGGGATGCATTATCCTCCTGGTGTCTCTGTGTGGCAACCCATACATGTCGCCAACCTAAGAAGTTCATTGGAGCTTCGTTGTGCAGAGATTTTATTGAGGCTTCATTAAACAGGCATGGTTGACCGAGTCATGGCCCCCAGATGGTCACACTCAGTCTCTAGCCTTCTCCCATCCCTGGAGATCAAAATGGTATCATGTGGCTCAGAGTTCCAACCCTCTCATCACATAATAGGTTTTTCTGATGCGGCCAGTCCTCACTTTTAAGTCTTTTGGCGCAGGCAGGGGCCCCACACTGAGCCATCTCTTAGCATAGCCTATCAGGTGTCCTTCATGAGTCATTTCATGAACATAAACTATTAGGTGTGGTGTAAGGGGCCCACTATGACTGACAACACATTCCTGTTACTTGGGACATTCCAAGGGTATAAAGGTTAACTGCCAGGAGCAGGGACAAAGGCCAGACCTCTCTTTGAGTAAAGGGAATTCATCACTACACAGCCTCTTAGGACTGGCATGTTGGTGTCCAGGCCAGAGGGACTGCATATGTTTCTTTAAGTGTATATTTAAGGTCAAAAACCATGGAAAAACAACTTGGGGCTTAGGGAGGTTTTAGTCTTCAAATGTCATCAACACTTTTTTTTTTTGTCTTCAGCTACTTAAACTTAATGGTATAGACAGGGAAGATTTAATATTATCAGACACAGAAGTGAGAGATGACAGCCCTAAATAATGACCACCGTAGTAGCGTTTAGTTAAACCAAAGATTACAGCAATCTACCTTACCTTTTCCTGGTGATTTATAGTTTAAAGTGCTTCATATACATTATCCCTCGGATTGTTAGTCATAATGTAAAAACGAGTATAAATAAATAATTTAACAATTGAGTGACAACATAGTAAAAAGATTATTCAACTTTTTTATTCAAGAATTAGGTTTTATCAGAATTCATTTTTCCAGCACTGCAGAAGCATCATTTACATCACAATTGATATGCTGATTTAGGTTCATCTAGGAAATCTGGAATGTGGCAATACTTTGTTAATATAGTTGAAGATATTTTGTTAATTTGGAAGTTTGAAAAAAAAAATTTTAGCAGGATAACAAATTAATATACCTCCAATATATATGAGAGAGACCCAGGAAAACTGATTAAGTTCTGAAGATTTAAAACTTAATAGACAGTTTTTTTTCCCTCTAAAATCAAACTTAAATTAGCATGATATGAAAAAATTAAGGTAAAGCAGATAAAAGAACTTTTCTTCTAGGAAGGCAGCTATGTGCCATTTAAGTAGAATATTTAACCCCTTTCCCCTAGGTAGGTAGAAATTCTTTCATGTCTCTTTTTGGGAATGTGTAAAAAATTTTTTACTTCTACTGTTCTATCAACCTACCTATCAGAAGTTTTCAGATACAGAAAGTTATGTCTTCACCATTTTTTTCCTTTAAAATTTCTGTATTTAAACTTTTTACAAATTCATACTCATAAAACTAAGGCTTAGCTTAATACCCCTTGAAAAGTAGAAAGCGTATATATTGGGAAAGTGATGAGCTTAGGTGAGTTGTGTTGATACTTGAAGTCTCTGTGACCATCCAGTTGGAGGAGACCAGTAAGAGGATGATATATAATCCTAGAGCTCAGTATTGGACTCTGATTTGGAGCTGCATACATAGCAGTGAAATCACAAATATGAAAAAGATCACCCTGGAAAAGCATGTAGTATGAGAAGAGAGCCAGGGACAGATCCCTGGGAAATATCAACATTTAAGATAGTATAGAAAAACACCTTAAATAATAGTCATGAAAGTAGGAAGTCAAGAGCAAACAGCATCATGGAAATCTAGGACAGTGTTTCAAAAATGAGGTGTTATCCAGAGTGTTATATGCAGCAGTGATGTCAAGGAAGATGAAGACTAAGAAATAGCCAATGGATTTGGGTAATTTTAGTGGTGGGAACAAACCAGATGACTATAGTTTGAAGAGTGAATGAGAGGTAAAAAATGTGGCAATATCAAATGCAGGCTACCCTTTTTGGCAAGTCATGGTCAAGAACAAAAAAAGAAAAATAGGATGATAGCTGGAAGGAGATATAGGACCAAAGGAGGTTTATTTCATTTTTGGTTTGTTTTTGTTTTGTTGTTTTGTTTTGCATGAGGCATAGTAGAGGCTCTACATATACTTGAAGGTACGGGCCTGGAAGAGAGGGAGAGGGGTTGAGATCCAGGGGTGTAATATTCAAAGTCCAATCAGGAGACAGAAACCACATGTTATCTGACCATAGAAAATTTAATAGAAAGGATTGCTAAATATATAGAAAGTTATTTATCGGGTAATTTAAAAGGTGAGAGGAGACAAAAAGGAATCTGAAAGGAGCAACTGTAAAAACCATCAAACACTCTTAGGGTTGGAGGACCATCAGGAGCAGGTAGGAGATGGAGTGTGTCAGAGGGATTCAGGGGAGGGAGAGCTTTTTTGGAAAAGTCAATCAACGAGTATTTTATAAAGATGTCCCTTGAGCTGAGCTTAATTAAGTAGAAATGAAAGAATATTCCAAGAGTTATACATGGAAATAGTAACCGCTTAACAAGTATTTGTCGAACAGATGATGAAAGAACAGAGTGAGCAAGCATCTAGAGAATAAAATATGGAAAAATTTGGAACAGTAAGTTAGTTTGGGGCTCGTGTGGTGGGAAAGTGGTAAGAAATAAGGCTGCACAGAAAGAGTAGGGGCGGGCAGTCAGCTTTGAATACGCGGGTAATGAGTTTAGACTACATTTGAGGAAGCCAGTGAAGTTCGAGTAGGTAAGTGACATGCTAGAGCAAAGATTTCGGGAAGGTTGATCTGTTTGTGGTCTGTAGAAAGACCTGGAAGGAGAGAGAAATCATCGTCCTTAGGAGGCCCTGGATCGGGGTGACAGTAAGTATATACCACAGGAGGCAAAACAGAGGACAAAAATATTGATGGCCAATTGACTCAACCGCTGATTGGAGTTGGTGGAGGAGGGGGAAAGGAAACTGGGGTTCTAGGCGTTTGAGAGGAATGGCAGAAAGAGGAAAGAAATGAGGACGAAGAGGAAGTTTCCAAGAGAAGGGATAAGTTCTGTGTGAAAAGGCTGGAGGGAAAGACGGCAGGTCTGCAGCTTAGCGAAGTCCTGGCAGAGCGAGCGGGGGTTTGGAAGTTGTCTGCACCGAGGTCCTGACTGGGGTCCGCCGTGGGGAGGACGCCGAGCATCTCAGCGCCTGTGCATCCAGAGCCAGCCCTCGGGCCGGAGTCTGAGGCCGCCCTGCCTCCTGCTTTACACTTCTCACCTGGGCCGGAACTCAGAGGCGAGGAAGAGGAGGATTCCAGTGTCTACCCTGTCCCCAAACAAGGGTCTCTTGGGAACGTAAGGATAACGTGCCTCCCGGATAGCAACTGGGACGACGGGCGGACAGGACCGCGCTTCCCGGTCCGAGGCGCGCGTCCCCTGGGCGCGCGTTCCCGCGGCGCGCGTAGGCGCGGCCCGCGTCGCCTAGCAACCCGGGACAACAGCTGGCCTAGCAAGGGCGCGCGGGCCCCGGCTGCTGCGTTGGTTGCTGTTCGTTAGGTCTGCAGAGCGCAGGTCCGCTGCATCTCCGGGCAGGTAAAGGCTGATGGGCGGTTGCACCGGTACACAGCGGTGTGGAGAGGACCAGGGCAGAAGTGGGGACAGAGGAGGTGTCGCGGAGGCGGGGACATCAAGGGCATCAAAGGGACATCTCTGTTAGGCTGGAGTAAGGGTGGGTTTCGTAAGCTGCCTGGTCAGCTCCCATTTAGCAGGCAACACGACTTAGACCCCGAGAAGGCATATGAGGGGTTCAGATTCCTTTCCCTGACTCGGGAAGTGGGTCTCTACTTGCTGTAGCTCACCTCCTCCCCTATATGTCTTCTCAAAATAAATCTCCCCGTTAGAAAATATTTAACATCGCTGAGGCTGAAAGTTCACGAAGGAGAAATAAGAATGATCATGAACAAAAAACCGTGGTTCCTCTTCAATAATCAAGAAGTTGCAAGGTTAAAGCCGATTTGTTTTCATACCCAATGCGAAGAGGTTCATACCTTTTCAATTATTCTGCAGCTAGGGATTTATCCTAAAGAAAGAGTTGAGGCTGTGCCTGAAGATTTTATGCCTAAAGATTCGTGTCACTCATGTCTAAAGTTCATTGCCGTCTTGTCCATAATTCCACAAAATTGGGAACAAATAGTTAACAATAGGAGACTGGCTGGATGCGCAGTGGATTTTTAAAATATTGTTTTAAATGACATGATATGCTAATCCATTGGAGATGATTGGATCAATAAATGGAGAATGAGATTTCAAAACCTATTCATTAATTTAAGAATTTATTAGGGAAATGGTCCCAGGAAGGGAAGTTGAGAAATCCAGGAAGGATAATAAAATCACTGTAGAACACACACACAGAAAAGGAAGTATATCAAAATAGTGTTTCCTCCCAGAGCTTATTTCTGAGTGACTTTTGTTTTATTATACGTGCCCTTCTTGGCTTTTTACAAATTCTCTATAGTGAAATGTATTACCTTCATAAAGTCGTACACTTAAAAATCGTTAAAATGGTAAGTTTTATATATATTTTAGTACAACAAAAGAAATCAATGGACAGGTGGTAAAATAGTCAAGGTAAACAGGTTTAGTTTTCTTCCACAAGTCAAAGGGATTTATTTTCTTAATTTGACATCTCTGTAGCTTTAAAGGAAAGTATTCAAAGAGTAAATTAATATAAGGTAATTTAATTGTCTCATGTTGATTTTAAGTGAAATGGGTTTACGAAGTTTGTTTTTTTAACATTAGGATCATCTCTAAGGCTCCTTGTCCCTGGCCTATGTCAGCTGTATACTTTCTTCCCCAGTAACAATTACACCCAACATGGTAATTAAAACACAAACTAAACACTTCCTGCTTCACAACAGTGCCGAGGCCCAGCTTCCTCACTGCAACCCTGTATGTTTAGACTCTTCCAACCCCTGTACTCTTCAATATGCAGTTTCGATGCTGAATATGAGATGCTGAAATGGGAAAAGTAGGTTTCTGACTGAAAATCAGATGACCTGAAGCAAGTTTATGCAGGTGTAACTTAATTGCTTCCCAAATATCCATAAGGAGTTCCTTTATTAAATTTAAGACTGCTATATTTCAGAATTGGTTACCAAGAGGTATGAAATCTCTTTTTTTCCTAAGGGTTAATCATAGGATGGATTTTCATTTGTCCAGAGTAGTTTCTGTTTGCTTGAAATATTATGGGCACATCTATGGCCTGTGTGCTTTTTAAGATGTGAAAGACGTGTGAGATTTGAAAAAAATCGACTCTAAAATATGAAAACGGGGAAAATTAATATCAAATGCTTTACTATATATTAAAATTTGATTACATTTGAAAATAATTTTCTCATTTTCAAGAAATTCCAGGTGCACAAACTGATTGCTGAGAGGTTTCAACTGCAACATTTTAAGACAGTTTATGATGAAAATTATATGTAATGGGAGAGGTGGATACATTTTAACTTTTTAATACATTGTGTATAGTGTGAGGTAGCGCATCACAGAGTAAGTTTGCTGAGGCCATCAAAGATCTCGAAATTTATATGACCTAAAGTTAGGGACCTGGGGTAGATATCTTTCAGAAGTCCCTGTGGGTTTCTGTGAACACATGGCTTTTTAACATATGTGATAAATTCTGGTCAGTGTCTCTAATGCTAGGAGCTGCTTTTCTCCCATGACAACTCATCTGAACTGACCCTGACATTGTAGATTCTCTTCAAAGATTTTCTATTTCTCAGGATTTCTCTTGAGACTGTAGTAATTTCCTTGAAACTAGAATGTAACATCAGAGATCACTTAATGCCTAGTGCAATCTCACACGTTCTCACTGGAGAAAATTTGAAAGATTTCCAGGGTTATTCTAACAATCTCCAACATCTTGGAAAGTTTTCTGTACCCAGGTGGAGTTACTGATCTGTGGTACATCAACTATGTACTATTTCTTTGACTTTTTTCCACACAGGCGTGGACACATGAGAGCAGGAAGAAAAGGGTCTTGCAAGGAGTAACCGTAATTTCTCAAGAATACATTTTTTTTATATTCTCAATTACTTTTTATTAAGCTATAAATTATGTCAGGGAAAACTTTGTTATCTGGGAAAATGACGCAAATGTTCACCTGGGGTTGGTAGATCTTGCGTATAATTTACAAAATCATTACTCCCAGGAAAAGCAGAGTTAACTATTTTATGAATGCTGAATATCAACCAAGCACCAGACACTGTTCTAGGTGCTTAGGATATTTCAGTGCAAGAAAGCAGACAAAAATCCTTCTTTGTGACAAAACATTCTTGCATATCTCAAAAGTAACTTGGACTTCATCTCCCAAGCCCTGCATAAGTGCGCTGTCAGCATGGTAAACTAAAGAGCAAAAGTTATGTCACTAATATATTCTCTTCCTTTCAAAACTGGAAGCCAGGACTAATGGCCATGGCTTAGGACTAATGCCCATAGGGCTAATCTTATCAATAAGTTACTTAAAAATTATGGTTTAGATAGGGATGTAGGTAACATATTTGTGCATGTGCAGTAATTTCTATATGTATCACATAATCTGTTTTGGGTAAAATTTAAAGAAAATAAGCCTCATAAGGACATAGGTAACTGAGAAATTTGTACATATATAATGTATAAATGACACTTTAACCATTTATTGCATCTTCTCACAGAATGGGTAAAAAGATAAAGAAGAAAGCAGAACCTCCTCCTAAGGATGTGGTAAGTTTCTGATTTGAATTCCAATAGTATATTAACAACTAGTTTAAAAATAAATTGTTCAAACAGTTTGGCGTGTACAAGTATATACATGAGTACACAGTGGCAGATGTCCAAGGTCTGACTAATGATGAGTCAGAGAAATCTAACATGTAAACAAACAAACATTGTCATTGTATAACTAGCACAATTAGTGAGCGATTAATTGTGCTAGTTATACACACTAGCTTTTCCAGTATGTGGATGGCATGTTCATAAGCCAAGTTAATGAATAAATAATTTTGGTTTCTTCTTGTAAATATTTTATATTTGTCAATCTAGCATTAATGTTATTTATCCAAGTGAATTTTCAAAATTAACTGGAAGTTATGCTATAGTTGTTGGATATGTATATAAGGTTGTCAGAAGATAACCCTTTGGACATCAGGATATATTTTCAGTCCTGTGGAGAGAGAAGTCTGGGTTCATCATGATTTTCTCTTCCAAATGCTTAAGTAATGCATTCATTATTACAGAAAGCCCTATTTCTCTTTCTTTTTTTTAAAAGAGATTTCATTTATTTATTTTTAGAGAGAGGGAAAGGGAAGGAGAAAGAGAGGGGAAAAAAACATCGATGTGTGGTTGCCTCTTGCACACCCCTCGCTAGGGACCTGGCTCTCAACCCAGGCATGAGCCCCAGCTGGGAATTGAACTGGCGACCCTTTGGTTTGTAAGCTGGCACTCAATCCACTGAGCCCCACCAGCTGGGTCCCTATTTCTCTCTTTTAAAAGCATGTTTTTATCTTCTCTCTTGACATTTTTTTAATTACTGAAAGATTGTGTTTAAAATAAAAAATTACCTGGGACAGTTTTGAGTTTAGAGAGTTGTTTTGAAAGACACTTGGTGTGATTTTCTTCAAATAAAACATGAATGAAAAAAGAAGTACCATATAGCGGACTCACAGGGCTTGAGAGTTTGAAGGAGACTGAACCTGGCGCAGGGCCTCCCCGCCAGCACCGGGGCATTGCGGCTACCACGCCAGCTCCATTCCAGCGCCGCCTCTCACGAGCTGTGTGTTTCTGATGAAGTTGCCAAATCTGAACAAATTATTTCAGTTTTTCTTAATCTCTTTAACGGGAATTGTAATGTCCAACTCATTTTGGTTATTGTATGAATTATTGTAAAATGAAATGAAACATAATAAAGTTCTTGGTGCCTGACACATAGTTAACACTCAGTAAAGAAGATTTAAACCATGGAAATCCTTTAGACTCTGCTACACACACACATACACACACACACTCACACACACTCACACACCATGTAACTACTTATATATGATACTTCAGTGCAGTTGGGAAGCACCTCTCTGCCCAAGTCTAAGAAAGCTTTGCAGAGATGGTCATTATGGTATCCTGACATATTTTATAAGTCTGGCTGCTCTTCTTTGGACATACTTTTAAAACATTACAAATTTTATTTTATTTTAGTGCATTCTAGTTCATATTACCTCTCTTTGCTGCAAAAGAGCGTTACTGCCATTACCAGATCGTGGACTCATGAACACAGTACTTGACGACATACACTTTCTGATTAGAATTAAGAGACTATTAATCAATGGATATATTTGTCTAAGACACTTTTTGTAATTTTATCATGTCTTGCTGCTATTGTCCTCTGTATCCTAATCCTTGGGACACATCAAGACTTGAGAAACTGTTCCAATCGTGGCTTTCACAAGAATCGGGCCCCGGCTCCTCAGTTCACAGCAGCCTTGCGGGCAGCTGAAGGCAGTGCAACAATTACTGATGGTCCCCGCCTGCTGTTTTTCCCAAGGATCTTTCCATTTTCCCCCTATTCGGACTTGATGCTAAAGAGTTGATAGAGTAGTATTAAAATATCTAATTGCTTTTCTCTCTTGTAAGTTCTTATACTTTAAAACAGTATACTACAATTTAAGATATCTAAACTTGGAATTTGTAACAAATCATACTTCTTCAAAGCCTAGGCAAGGTCTGATGTACAAATCGTAAATGAAAACCAGATTTAAAAAAGGGATACATATGTGCTTGAGAAAATAAATTTTTCTGTATCAACTAATGATAGTTTTGTATTTGTGTATTTTCTGAAAACATTGCGTCCAAAGATTTTTATTTTCCCCCATTTATAAGCTTTTTATTGAAGCATAATATACATACAGAAACGTTCACAAAGAGACACAGCTTAATTCATTTTTGCACAGTGAACACACCCATGTAACCAGCACCCAGATCAAAAAACAAGCATGACCAGTCTTCCAGAAATCCCCTCAGGCCCCTGAGGACTCGAATAGTGTGACCTGTATTTGAAACATATAAGTGGAACCAGAAAGTATATTGTTTTTTGTCTGAATTCTGTTCAACTGTGCATTTTATTGCTGTATAACACTTCCATGTATGAAAATACCTCAGTTTACCTCTCCATTCCAGCATTGATAGGCATTTTGAGTGGTTCCCCATTTGGCGTATTATAAATTGTGCAGTCATGAATATTCTAGTGGATGTCAAAGATTTTTATTTTCATTAGTCTTTTGTCTACTGGTTAAAATGGGTAATAGGGACAGAGAGAAGAATGTTTGGTGATATGGTTAAAATGAAAGACTCTTTGTTTTTCTTAATATTATTCTTGTCAAAACATATGATAATATGTGCATATATGGTTTATTGATCTCTATTCCTTCTCAGAAAAGGGAACACTAGCTGAGATGCCTATAGGAAGATATGGCTTAAACACCAACACAACTATATTCTGCCTTCCCAAATTATTTCCAGGTCTGGCTGAAAGGCTGTTTGTGATGCTGTAATACAAGGCAGACTTCCTGTGAAATTACTGCATTAAAAAATTACTAGTAGAAATGACCTTAGAAGGCACTATTTAGTATAAGGCAAGGTATTTAGCAACTAAGAGTAAGGCTCTGGAGCTAACTGCCAGAGTCTGAGTCCTCACTCCATGTATCACCCACCATCCATGGTCTGACGCACGTTTCCTAACCTCTGTATTGCCCAGGGAGGATGTAATGATATCCACTTCACAGGATATCCACTTAATATCTACTCATAGAGGTGACGGAAGGTTAGATCAATATAGGAAGCTTAGAACAATGCCTGGCACTAGCTAAGAACTTAGTGCCGTTATTATTAATGATGTAGTTAAGGGTACTGTCCATCGTTCTACAGAACTGTAGAAGTTTGAACTGTCAAAGGAGGCAGGTGATGCACTGAAATTCCTGTGATCTAGTGGGTAACTGTATGATCCATGGTCAGGTCTTTGAGTTTATGAGCGTGTACATTTTATTCTTAGTATTTCAGAGGCAATTGAACTTCAGTGGATAAATCACAGTATCTAAACTTTCAAGAGACTATGACCTGGCTCTGGAATATTAATGATTAAGCTTCCACTGAACATTTATGTTAATGGGTCAGCAACTTCTCTCCCTAGTTAAGTTCTTAGGGGAATCTAAGCCTGGTAGGTATTTAATCAGAGCAACACACAACACTAGAACCTGCCTCCTCTCCTGGGCAACCAAACCCAGTTCTTTGGAAGATTGGGATGTCTCCTGGGGCTTGTTTTTCCAGAACCTTCTTCATCAACCTCACAACTCAACATTTAACTCTGTCAGAGACTGCAAAAACTGTCACAAATGTTTTTTTTAGAAAGAAAACATCATTGGGACTTATTTTCCCATCTTTCTCCCTCATCACAGATAAACCACCATGCCTAAGAAATATAGTATAAATTCATAAATAATGCAAATATACAAAACTGAATAAATAATTATCAGCTTGTTCACTTTAGTCTAAATGTTTGTTATTTTGAACCGTATTGTAATGCAAACTAGAGGCCAAATAAACTAGCTGTTTTCATTTTAACCTTTACAGTTTTTAGTATATTTTAACTTCTTTGTAGTCTCTACTAAAATTTCTTACTGTAATCATTATTTATTTTTAGAGAGAGGGGAAGGGAGGGAGAAAGAGAGGGAGAGAAACATCGATGATCAAGAGATACATCAACTGGTTGCCTCTTGCATGCCCTCAGCTGGGGACCTGGCCTGCAACCCAGGCATGTGCCCTGACTGCGAATTGAAACAGTGACTCTTGGCTTCCTTTTGGTTCTCAGGCCAGCGCTCAATCCACTGAACCACACCAGCCAGGGCTAAAAGTTCTTACTACAGTGGTGCAGTCTACTACCTTCTGTATCTGTTCCTCTTTTCCTGTGTACTTGGTTCCTCATGATATGAGACCAGTGAATGCCTTCCAAATGAAAATAAAAAAAGCCTTTTAGTTGGCCTTACCTGCATCATCAAAACCAGTTAGCAGTCGTGATTTCCATACCTGTCACTGAGTTCAGTTTTGTAAATTTGTGTTCTTTTAGACTTGTGCTAATCCAGTAACTAGTAGCCACATGTGATTATTTAAATTTAAATTTATAATAATTAAAATTATGTTAATTAAAATTAACAATTAAAAATTTAAAAAATCAGTTCCTTAGTCACATTAATTACACTTCTAGTGCTCAAGTGGCATGTGTGGTTGTGACTGTCATTGGAGAATGCAGAATCAGCATTTCTGTCACCAAAGTTCCCTTGGACAGCACTATTCTAGACAATCTTTTTTTTTTTTCACAGACATATCCAAGTATCCCTATAAATCTATGGCCTCTCTAACTGAGCTTAAAATTCAAAGCTTAGCCAAAGTGGTTCTCTTTTCTTTTTTCCTTTTTGAAGATAATTTTGGTTCATCATTTTTTTGCTCAGATCATGCAAGTATAATTTCACAACCAGCTTTTTGTTGTGGTGATTGATTCTATCTCACAGGAAAGCAGATGGGATATGTAATTACAATGCATACAGAGAACCTTCTCTCCTTACATCAACAGACAATACACAGTTAAGATACTTTAGGCCAGAATCATAAAGAAGTTTCCAGAGACACTTGAGTTTCCATACCCCAGATTTATTCTAGGTAATGGACATAGAGAAAAACAG